CTGAAATCAAGATCCACTAAACCAACAACACTTAAGGCAACATCCCACCAATCTCCCCACACTTCAATCAAGATCTGATCCCTCCAGCTCCAAACCACCCCAAGCATCAGGAAAGGAGCAGAGAAAGAGAAGCAGAGGCAGCAAGAAGAGAGGAGGAGAAAGAGGGAGAGACAGATCCTGGAGCTACCACCGCAGCCCTGGAGAGGATCAGCTCTCCCCAGTCCCGTGGTAGGGCCAGCACACCAGGCCAACACGTGCCCCTGGTTTTCTTTGCTCCGGTCCCTCTGGCCAACCCCCCAGGCGGGGTCTGTGACCCAGCAGCCGCTCTGGGGCTTCCAGGCCAGGCTGAGGGGCCGGGTTCTCCCTGTCCCTGCCAGTGGGAGTTGGGTGTGGGGCTGAGGGAGCTGTGGGCTGTTCCAGTTTTCCCGGGCTGGTTGGGACTGACAGCTACTGCGGGGTTTGCCCAGCTGAGCTCCCGGGGCTGCCCTGAGGGACACGAGGCCACCCCCCCCTCCATGAGGTTCCACCCATCCCTTCCCCCTCCACACCCATGGAGTGGAGTGGACTGATTAGAAGATGGAGTCTGATTGCAAGGTGGAGTCTGTTTGCCATTGTCTCCAGCGTGGCGTTAAAAAGCCTGGATGGCACAACCAGGCTGCTGCAGGAGCCGAGCTCCTTGCCAAAGCTGCAGGAGGCACCCAGCAAGCCAGCAGAGGCAGGTAGACCAGCAAAGAAGGGAAACAGTTCTTCCAACCCAAAAGCGCAGCAAGGACTTGCTCTCCCAAATCAGGGGGGCCAGGTAGATCTTGCTTGGAGCCTGGGGAAGCAACCTGGGGACACTCAGGGCCCATCTTGGTGCCAGGAGACCTCGGCTGGGATCCTGGTGACCTGTCCATGGAGCATCTGGGGGTGCCAGAGTGAGGGGATTTCGGGCCGTGCCCGGGGACTGTGGGGGGCTGTTGGAGCACCGCTGAGGGAGCTGCTACCTCTCTGTTCCCCTGCCGGTTGGGCTTCTGTGGGAACAAGTTAGCCAGCAGCAGCTGCATTCAGTTAGTTCGGATCAAGCAGGAGTGTTTTGGCCTTGACTGGTTGTGGGAAGTAGCAGAGACTGTGGAAAGCTGCCTTAGGGATAGAAATAGAAATAGTAACATTAACATGGTATAAAAGGTAGCAACTGTAACAAAGAAAGGTCTCAGTATCCCCAGTGAGCTGAGTCCATGATTTAATATGCCACAAATGGCGCTCGAACAGGGACCTTAATAAAACGCCGGAGGGAGGACGTCTTACCCGTGGCATAGCTCGGCTGGACGATGGGCTGAAAGGAAGCCCAGGTGCACTGCAATTACCTTACTGCTGGACAGCGGGTAAGCAGCCGAGGACGTGATGGGGAACTCTGTGCCCGTAGAGCATAAGAATGTAATCGAAGTATTTAACATAATTTGTGTAAGCAACAGCGAGAGCTATCAGATATGGACTTAAAGTCGGCTGTTAGCATGGGCTTGTGACAATGATCCTAACATAAATCCATACGCTGTTTATGATGTGGAACGATGGGACAAAGTCAGAGCCAGCCTTTGGGACAAAGCTCTTAAAAACGACAAGGAGGCCGCAGGACTTGTAAGCCTTTGGCAGACCCTCTATGAGGCCCTGAAAGTCTCTGTTGGGTCCAAGAAATCCCACCCACTGCCAACGGAGACAGTGCTTCTTTGGGAAGCACTTCCCTTGGGAAGCAGGCCCCTTGCCTGCCCAGGGATGACTCAAGTCTGTAGCTTTCTTGGGGAACCCCAGCACACCCAGCACTGAAGATCAGCAAGATCTTCAAGTGCACAATGCTGTGCAAGTGGCCCTTCAGGACAGGCCCCTTTGCAGCCTGAAGTGCCCGTGTCCCTGGGGGTGTGCCCAAGGCTCAAGGGGCAAAAGAGAAGTTGGAGCGGGCCCGTGAGCTGCAGGGCTGAGGGTTTGTGCCCTTTCAGTTGCACCAAGACACAGATAAGGGGAGAAAGCCAGGGTTTATTAACATCAGGGCAAGGGGAGGGATGAAGTGGGGTCAGGAGAAGGGAATGGAAGGAGGGAGCCGTCCATGGGGCTACAGAGGCCGGGAGCTGCCTGGCCTTCTGGGCTGGTTCAGTTGGGCCCAGCATCAGCTGGAGCTGGAGCTGCAGCCGCGCTGAGAAGTGGTCCCTGGGCTGTGGTGGGGGGCTGTTGCAGGGACATTGGTCGTCTCAGCGGAGCAGGTGGAGTTCTCACGGCACGGCTGTAAGTGGCCATGAGTGCAGCTCTCATGGTGGAGACGGAGGGGCAGTCGTCCTCGCTCATGGCTGTAAGGGCTGGAAGAGAGAGGAAGGGAGGCGGGGTCAGAGCGCGGCTGTGCAGGGACCCTAGGAGCCCCCCCTGCCAGGGCCATGCCAGGCAGCTCTTGGCACGGCCAGGAGGGAGCAGGGGCCAAGAGGATGAGCAGGAAAGTGCTGGGCACCAATGGGCACCCACTGGTGCCCCTGCCATGTCTGTGTGCTCTGGCCACGGTGTGCAGGGAGCAGAGCCCTGTGCAGGCAGGGCAGGGATTGCAGCTCCCTGCCCAGGGTCTGTGCTGGTCGTCGACAGCCCCCAGGGAGGCCCTGCTGCCCTCACTCACCTTTGAGGATGGGCCACAGGTCTTGCGGCTGCTCCCTCATGTGCCAGCCGGCCACCCCTGGGAACACAGAGGCTGTCAGGGCCCCAGGGGCTCCACATCGGGAGGCCCCGGGGCTGGGCTGGCAGAGGGCGGCAGCAGCCTCCAGGGCACTCAGGGCTCCCCAGCACATCCCTGGGTCGCATCCTGCGGGGCTGGGGCCAAACTGCAGCGGGGTGGGGAGGGACCGTGGCCTTGGGGCTCACCCATGAATCTGACGGCCGCCTCTCGCAGGGGCTCCTGTGGGCTCTGCAGGTAGGGCAGGGCCTGGTGCAGGTGCTCGCCCCTTTGGCTCATGTCCTTTTCCATCTGCAGAGAGTAGGGGGGTGTCTGGGGGGGCAGCAGTGGGCACGGGCACGGGGCCAGCCCCACACACTGGGCATCAGGGGCTGGGGGCTTCTCCAGCCTGGGGCTGGGCCTTACCGTGCTCGTCCTTACCAGGCAATCGCAGAACCTGAAGGGCTGCTCTGTCTTCAGCAGCTGCTCCAGGTCCTTCCTCTGGAGGAAGCTTGCAGCCCAGAGCAGCGTTTCCCGAGCGGCCTGCAGAGCAGCAGAGAGCGGGACATGGCACCACAACCCGGGGCACAGCCCCTGCGTCCCTGCTCCAAGGCCAGCAGGAGGCTGGAGCCCTTGAGGCCCCAGGGTAGGAGGCAGCCCAGCCCCTGCCACGGGGACACCAGAGCCCAGCAGTGCTCACCTCTGCCACGCGCTGGTTCTCGTCGTGCCAGCGGAAGTACAGTGGGACCAGGCTCTGGCGCACCTGCATCTCCCAGGGCTCTGTTCCCTCTTCCGCCAGCAACTCCATCACCTCTCGGAAGAGGCGAATGGAGAGCAGCTGCACGTGGCTGTTGTCCTGGGACCAAAGAAGACACAAAGACCTCAGCACTGCCTGCTCCAGGCCCTCCAGGTCCATGCCTGAAACTCCCCCAAATTTCCAGACAGCACCCAGTGCCTGTGGCTGGGGGCACAGAGCCTTACGTTGTCAAAGACTGGCCGGAGCGCCTCAGCCAGCCTCGGGGCAGTGGAGCTGAACCCGTCACTGTTGTCTCCATCCTGGAGCGCATTCCGGAACAAGGAGAGGGTCATGGCGACCAACTCTCCATCTCCATCACGCAGCAGCTCCAGGAGGTGCTCAGACAGGCTGCAGATGCCTTTGGCCTGGGTGGAACACAAGGCTGTGCTGGGAAGCCCTGAACAGCTGCCCCACCACCCCCACTCTGGCACTGCAAACCCACGCTGCTGCCCCAGGGCCCAGAGGCCAAAGGCCTGTCCCACAGGGCCTGGGCAGCTGAAGAGGGAGGCAGGAGAGCTGGGAGCAGCTGTCACAGCTCCCGAAGTCCAGCCAAGGCCAAGCCACTGCCCTCTCCAGCCCCAGGCTGCCCGTGTGGCTTCAGCCCCTGCCCCCTTCTCACCATCGAGGGCTCCACGCTGAGCACCAGGAGCCCTCGCAGAGCCAGGCGCCGCCTCTCTGGGCACTGGCTCTGCAGGTGCCTTGCCAGGATCTGCAGGACACTGTCGTGACAGGTGCTGCCGTCCAGATAGTCAAGGACCTGGAAGGCAGAGAGTAGTACCGGGGTGGCCGGGGGGGCAGGAGTGCAGAGCCGGCCAGGGCTGGGCCCAGGCAGCAGCACAGGGTGCAGGCACCGTCCCGGGCAGCTGTGGCTGCCAGAGGGCAGAGAGGGGGAGGCAGCGGGGCCAGGCAGCGCTGGCCATCAGGCTCACCTCGACAAGGAAGGCCAGGGCAGGCAGCTCCCAGCGGAGGCCCTCCCTGCTGAGCAGCCCCAGCAGGTGCCTTGCCAGTGGGCCATAGGAGGGGATCAACACACGGCGCATCTCCCTGTCAGGGCAAAAAGGGAACCCTCGGCCCTGAGTCGGGTGGGCAAAGCTCTGCCAGCACTGGCTCGGCCGTCCCTTGGGGCCAAGGCCCTCTGGCCCACGCCCACGGGGGCTGTGTGGGCTGCCCCGTGCCCAGGGCAGAGATGCCGGGGGCAGCGGGGACAAGGTTGTCTCACCTGGCCAGCAGCCCCACCGCGTAGTGGTGGGTGTCAGCAGAGAGGAGCGCGTCCCAGCCACGCTTGCGCTCCACCGACACCAGCTCCTGGTCCCACTGCAGCCGCCAGAGCAGGGCCTGGATGGTCTGCACCACAAAGCTGTGTGCAGAGCAAAGGTCACGTCACACTGGGAGCCCTGGCCCCAGCCCCGAGGGCACGGCAGGGAGAGGGGATGGGCATGGAGCACCTGCTGGGGTGGGTGGGAAGTCCGTGTTGCTCCTGGCATCCCCTCCAGAAGGTGCTGACTTCCTCTGGCATCTGCTCTGTGCTCATAGAAACTTGGCAGAGCAGAGCCACCAGGAGACGAGGGGCATGAACCAACAGTGCATCTTGGCACTGGGGCTCCTGGACCATCAGCCACAGGGCCAGGGTTGCCTGCGAGAAAGCCACGTGGCGACACCGTCAGTTCCCAGAGGGAGGGAGAGGCCAGGGAGAGCCAGGGGGAGCAGCCGGCCTGCTGCCCCTGAACCTGCCCCCCAGCCCCATTTGCAGCCCAAGGTCTGAGGGAGATGCAGCAGTGGGGGAGGATGGAGAGTCGTTGCAGAGGTGACATGGGGAGGAGCAAAGGCCACTGCCAGAAACTCACAGCCAGGGCAAAGATATCCCTGTGGTCCTCGTCGGAGGTGGACGCGCTGTGCAGTGGCCAGTCCTCCATCACCCCGAGCAGCGCTGGCAGCACCTTGTGCGCTGTGGTGGCCGAGGAGGCGATGGTCCTCCACAGGATTGCAGCAGCTCTGTGGAGCCAGAGCTCTGGGTCAGGGGGGTCTGGGCCTTGGCAGCTGTGGGGGCCCAGGTGACAGAGCCACAGTGCATTGAGGGGCAGGGAGGGCACATGGCAGCAGGATTGGGGACTGACGTGCCAGGGCTGGGAACTGGAGGGGCCAGAGGGACCTGGAACTCTGTGTCAGTGTGGCAGAGCAGGAGGGACAGGCTGGCCAGGGGGCTGGGTTGTGAAGGCTGGTGAACCCTGAGGCAGCAAAGCAGCTGGGCCCTGTACCTGTCACACGCTGGGGCACAGCGCAGGAGAGTCGTCACCACCTGCCCAGGGTGTGTGTGGGCCAGCCTGCGGATGGCAGTGGGCGGCCTGACCTCTGCAGACTCCTGGCACGTGAGCCACTGGTGGATGGGGCTGACACTGGCCGGCACCTGGAGGGGAGTGGGAGACACTTGGAGAGCTGCCAGAGCCAGCAGGTTGCCCAGCTTGCCACAGGAAGGGCTTCCCTTCCCACCACACTCTGCTGGCCTCAAAGGCTCTGGGGGCCTGGCAGAGCCGGCTTGAGGGGCCCCAAGACCCCTGGGGGGCTCAAGCCCTGGCCACAGGCTGCTTACTTCATTTGCACCGGAGACACTTTTCTGCTCCAAAACCCCTAGACTGGGAGCATCAGTGACACTGTCCACGGACATGCAGTCAGTGTCTGCGATGCCCTCAGTCGTGTCGTCAGCCTTGGCCCCGACATCAGTTGGTGCCGTGTCAGAACTTGTCTCGGTGTCAGTCAGTGCCGTGTCAGAAGTGGCTGTGCCATCCATCAGGGCCATGTCAGAGGTGGCTCTGCCCTCAAGAGGCGCAGCGTCAGTGGCTTCTGTGCCCTCCACTGGTGCCATGTCCGACTTTGCTGTGTCATCAACCGGTGTCTGGTCAGAGGTGTCTGTGCCATCAACCGGTGCCGTGTCACAGCTGGCTGCGCAAGCAATGGCTGCCATGTGGGTGGTGTCTGTGCCAATAGCTGCTGCCACGTCCGAGGTTGCTGTGACATCAGTCGGTGCCATGTCAATGCTGGCTGCACAGTCACTCAGTGCAGTGCTGACATCAGGCTCCGCCTCGAGCTCGGTTTTGCTGGTGTCAGGCTGTGCCAGGTCCAGACTGGGAGCATCGGTCACACTGTGCGTGGGCGTGCGGTCAGTGTCTGCGATGCCCTCAGTCGTGTCATCAGCTTTGGCCCCGACAACCGTTGGTGCCGTGTCAGAGCTTGTCTCGGTGTCTGCCAGCGTGGTGTCACAGGTGGCTGTGCCATCCATCGGTGCCGTGTCAGAGGTGGCTGTGCCATTAACCTCTGCCATGTCAGTGGTTGCTCTGCCATCAAGCTGTGCCATCTCAGCGGTGTCTGTACCATCAGGAGGTGCGATGACACAGGTGGCTGCGCAATCAATGGCTGCCATGTCAGCGGTTTCTGTGCCATCAATTGCTGCCATGTCCAAGGTTGCTGTGACATGAGTTGGTGCCATGTCACCGCTGGCAGCACAATCCATGGGTGCCATGTCACCACTGGCTGCACAGTGACTCGGTGCAGTGCTGACATGGGGCTCCGCCTCGAGCTCAGCTGCGCTGGTGTCAGGCTGTGCCATGAGCTCGGGCGGTGCGGTCGTGGCTGTTCTGCGCCGAACACCCATGAATTTCAGCAACCTCTGCAGGAGAAGAAAGGGCAGGGAAGAGAGGGAAGTGGCATGGAGTGCTCTGACAGCGGTGCCAGGCAGAGCAGGGACAGCAGGCCCAGCCCAGGGGGGGATGGCTGCAGGTACCTGAACCGCCCTGCGCAAGCGGCCACGGGCGTGGTCCTGCTCTTCTGGGCGGTCCCAGCCTGGATCTGGCAAAGAGCGAGCGCAGTCAGAGCTGAGGGGCCGCGGGAGAGGCCAGAGAACACAGCCCAGCCCTGCACTCCACAGGCAGGGCCAGCCCTGGGATGCCCAGGGGATGGAGCACGGATGCCGGGGGGATCAGCCTTGGCCACCCCTTTCCCCCTCCCTTTCCCCGGACATGTCCAGAGGGGACGGCAAGGCGTCCAGCTGGCTGCAGCCACCATCCCTGTGGCCCAGCTCCAGCACTCACCCTGCTGCAGTGGTTGGAAGTGCTGCACCTCCTCCTCTGCTTCCTGTGCTGGGCCAGCTCTAGGGCCTCTCCTGTTCTTCCTCTTCCTCCGGAGCAGCCGGCACAGTCCGAAGCATCCCTCCGCCATGGCACAGTCTGGTCTTGAGGGCACCTGCGGGAGAGAAACCTCGGAAAAAAACCCCTGGCGGCCAAGTGTCACACAATGGCCTGCGGGGCTCCTGCCACAGGG